GCCGAGGGTTGGCGAGCGGGGGGCGGAGGGAGGGAGGGGGGGTTGTTGAGTGCCATCACTGTGTCTGGTGGGGGGGGGGTGAAGCAGACCAAGTTACCCCGCTGCTAGGCTCGCCGGGAGGAGGCGGCTGAGGAGGAAAAGGAGGCGGAGCTACACAAGCTTGCCTGGCGCATGCACACGCCGCCGCCGCTTGGTAAGCAGGTGGAGCAAAGTCGAATATTAGTCACTGGCCATTGGAAATCAACGGTCGTCAAATGGTTATTTATTCATTTATTTAGTTTTGACCCTAAATACTAAAAAAATGTGTTTCAATAAAGGAATTGGGTGGGGGGTTGTGCTTTTCTTTGGACAGTATCAATGTGACGTATGAACACACAGAATAAGAATCTTTCTCTCCTGAAAATGGCTTTGAGTATTTTTGTCTATTTTTCTTATTATTCCAGCAACTAATTCGCCTTCTTAGCTGCTTTCACACAGACAGCATTGCTCAAAAACTATCTCCTTTCAGCAAATGAGAGCATTTTTTTTTTAAGGAAATGGTTGAATATTCGCTGTAACTGCAATTCAAAACTTGGGATGCACTGCTACAGACACAAGAATCATGAAACTGCTCCGATACTAGTACATCGATACCACTTCACCCAATTAACAATGTGTCATCCAGGGACAAGCCTCTTCAGCCATCTATCCAGAGATACTTAAAGGTTCACACAGATGACAACATTGTTTGCAGACAGCAAATTATGCTTTACAAAATGGATGATGAACTCTGGTAGGGCGGCTACAGTCTATCCAAGTAGGCATCAAGTTTCTTAAGGCCCGTTGCCAGTTTTGGCGTTGCAGCGCAGTGGCTACCTGGTTGATCCTGCAGGTTCTCTATCTTTCTTATGTCAAAGATAATTATATAAATGAAAAGATAACAATTACATTTGGTACGGACAGATTTTGTTTTGTGGATTTGAACAATAAAAAAAAAAGTTGCATTTTCTAGTATCGGTGAGTACTCAGCTGACAGTACTTGAACCTGACTTGTGGTCTGGGGGAGCGGGGGGTCGTTTTGGCGCATCCTGGTGTTTTTGTAGACTGTCATACAGGAAGGTGTAAAAAAATAAAGAAATAAATAAAAATTCCAAAGATTGTTTTCAGTGAAAACATGAACACGGATGCAAATGCGCCCAAAATCTGCCAAGTGAAGTATTTATCAGCGCTGGAGATCTTACAAAATCAAACTGCCAATATATATGCCCCAAGCGCGCGCGCACACATACACACAAGCATTGAGCTCGGACTTGTCTTGATAAATATTAAAAAAAAATAAAT